GGACCACTAATATTAATTTTGAATGATGGTGGCTTGCTGACGTTTTCCCAGGGTCTCTGCAGAAAGCAGCAGAGGCCCTGGGAAAATCCCCCAAAAAGTCTGCAGAAAAATTCCCCATCCCGTTTTCCTACTGTTCAATCATTCTTTATTTGGGATCACAGGATACCGTCTCCAGCTCCGTTCTTAGGGGGAGAGAGAAAGAGAGACTTTTGGCTTCATGCAAGGAAAGCAGCAGGAGCAGCAGAAGTCTTTCTCTCTCTCCCCCAAATGAGATAAATGAGTCTTTGCCGGCACAACCTCTTGGAGCAGGAGGCCTTGCAGGGTCCCAAAGACTCGTTTCTGGCAGAGTTTGGGGGAGAGAAAGAAAGACTTTTGCTGCTTTCCTTGCGTGCAGCCAGAAGCAGAAGAAGAAAGAAGTGGAAAGAAGCAGCCCGGTGGCCAGGTGAGGGGTGAGAGGCGAGTAGGGCGAGTTCCCCCTCTCCGCCCTTTCCCCCCTCCCCTCACTACCTCGTGTTGTTTGCAATGCAAGAGACGCAAGGCTTGTGTTCCCACGCAGCCTGGATTAATTGCTTTGGGGGTGACATTTCTCTGCAGACACCAAAATTTTCTCGCGGACCACTAGTGGTCCCCGTCCCAGTGGTTGGCGATCAACCCCCTGCCCAAGCAGGAGACCTTACATCATTTCTGACAGATGTCAATCCAATCTCTTCTTGAAAGCCTCCAGTGATGAAGTTCTCACAACTTCTGAAAGCAACTTCTGTTCCATCGGTTGATGGTTCTCACTGTCAGAAAATTCCTCCTGATTTCCAGGTTGAATCTCTCCTGGTTCAGTTTCCATCCATTATTCCTTGTCTGGCCTTTGGGGGCTTTGGAAAATAGATTGACCCCTTCCTTCTCTCTGTGGCAGCCCCTCAAATATTGGAAGACAGCTATCCTGTCTCCCCTGGTCCTTCTCTTCCCTAGACTAGCCAGGCCCGGTTCCTGTAATTGTTCTTCATATGTTTTAGCATCCAGTCCCCTCATCATCCTGGTTGCTCTGGACTTTTTCTAGAGTCTCAACATCTTTTTTATAGTGTGGTGACCAAAACTGGATGCAGAACTCTAGGTGTGGCCTTACTAAGGCTTTACAGAGTGGTATTACTACCTCCCTTGATCTTGATTGTATCCTTCTGTTAATGCAACTTAGGATTGTGTTGGCTTTTTTGGTCGTTAAGTGACTCACACAATCATTAAGCGAATCCGGCTTCTCCCATGGACTTCGCTCATCGCTCAGACTCCCCCTTAAAGTTATTACTACATATTAAGCCTGGTTTCACCCAGTCTGTATGTGTGGGTTTTTCTTGCCTAAGTGTAGGACTTGACTTTTCCCTACGCTGAATTTGATTTTGTTAGAGAAGGCCCAGGGTTCAAGTCTGTCGAGATCCATCTGCATCTTGAGCCTATCTTCTTAGGGGTTGGCTATTCCTGCCAGCTTAGTATCTAGATTTGAATCAAATCAAATCTTTTACTTGGCCAGTGGACCTCAATCTTCAAGCATTTGTTGAGCAACCGTTCAAAGTTACAACACTGAAAAAAGTGACTTACGACCAGTCCTTGTACTTACGACCATTGCAGCATTTCCCCTTTCCCCCAGTCCCATGATCAAAATTTGGATGCTTGCAGCTGGGTCATATTTACGACTGTCATATGATCACCATTCACGACCTTCCGATGAGCGAAGTCCATGGGAGAAGCCGGATTCGCTTAATGATTGGGTGATTCACTTAACGACCACAGTGGTTTTGCTTAACAATGGCAAAAAGGTCATAAAATCGGGCGGGACTCGCTTAACAATTGCCTCCTGAGCGATGGGAATCGTGGTGTAAATTGAGGTTGTAAGTCGAGGATTACTTGAGCACTATTGAGCCCAATATTTCTGTCACTAAGCGAGACAGCTGTTAAGTGAGTTTTGCCCATTTCACAGCCTTTCTCCCCGCAGTTGGTAAGTGAATCGCTGCCATTGTTAAGTTAGGAACACCGTTGTTAAATGAATCTGGCTTCTCCATTGACTTTGTTTATGAGAAGGTCGCAAAAGGGGATCACGTGACCCCCCCCAAGGCACTCTGAGACCGTCATAAATGTGAGTCAGTTTGTCAAGCTTCTGAAGTTGGATCACGTGACCATGGGGAAACTGCAGCTGTTGTAAGTATGAAAAATGGTCGTAAGTCACTTTTTTCAGTGCCAGTGTAACTTTGAATGGTCACCAAATGAACTGTTGTAAGTTGAGGACGTCCTGTATTACGGAATTGGCTGATGGCCTCTGTAAGATGGCAGCTCTTTCAAGGTCGACCTAACTTTGTAGTAGAGCAGGAAGACAAGTGAGACATCTCCCTTCTTATCGCCCTCCACCGTGATTCTAGATGAACGTCGGAGATCTTTCTTACTCAAACCTAACTTTAGATTTGGAGCACTCACAAAACGAGAAGAATTGTCGTTCCTCAAAGTTTTGGCGTTGCCGAAGGCTTCTAAGGCAGGGTTGGCCTGGATAATTTGATCTTCCAACGTCCCCTAAGCAGAAACCAAACAGACAAAAGAAGGGGGAAAAATCCAGATGAGAAGAAAGGTCATGTTGTTTTTTCATCCCATCTCCATAGAAACGGCTCCTAAACCCATCATCATGAATGAGACCGTAGAACAGTGTTCCTCAATCTTGACAATTTTAAGCCTGGTGGACTTCAACTCCCAGAATTCCCCCTGCTGGCTGAGGAATTCTGGGTGTTGATGTCCACCCAGCTTAAAGTTGCCAAGGTTGAGACCCACTGAAGTAGAAGACACAAGAGACACAAGGAGTATCACCGGAATATTGAAATAGTCAACCTAGTTTTCCACGAACAAGTTGATGGAAACTTGCTATCACACTATGCTTAGGAAGATGGGCCTGTCATCAAATATTTCTAGAAATTTGGAGAAGGCTGGTGGCACGGAGAAGGAGATGTATGGGGAATGGGTGCTCAGTCCTGCCAGGATGTCAATACCCAGCTAAGACAAATCTGTTAGAAATTCTGTTTATATCTAGCACCACAAACCAAACCAAAGAGTACAGTCACCATGTGCTTTACTGGTCAACTGCTTTTTTTAACTGTAACAGGAAATTCTACTTAGAACAAAAGAGCATAAAGTATGTACCATAGATTCAAACTTGTAAACACTGCCATCTCCTGGCTGAATACTACTGTAGTTGTTGGATAAAAATACGTTCCAACAATGAATTCCAACAAAATCCCATTGTCGTGTCATTTGCTTGATAACAACCTGAAACATGGACCATTATTCTGGATTCCCATGTGTGAACAAGAGGATCAAGGGTGAACACAAGAGGCTGCCAGAATGACCACACACAGAGGAAATCATTTGGGCTGATATCTGAAGGAGCTTTGGAAGTTCTCATGCTTCTGAATCCCATTTGTCCTTTCCAGATAGAAAAGGTAGTGACTCTACAGGCAAGTCCATGAGTCAGAGGTAGCTTGGCTAAACAAATCTTTGGCTAAAGAAATCTCAACCTGAAGGCATGCATATGGGTTCCTTCAAGAGTTCACTGAGTTTTCCAGAACTATACCACGCTGCCTTTTTCCAACCCTGACAAATGGTAGAGCTTAGATCTTATTCTTTGAGAGGTTCTGGTTAACGTGGTGAGGTTTTCGATCGTGCCAGCCCAGAATGTACACCCAGGAGTAATTTCCATGCTAGTGACTCATCCCATCTACTCACATCTATCCCTGTTGTTTATGTAAAGCTTGTTCTCTGTGTTATTTCAATAGGGCCATAGTTGACTGATTCTAGAAGATGCCATAATCTATCAGAGGAGATCTGAATTTAGTTTTGGTTCTACCTTCCATTGCAGAAGACCATGGCTTGCTTTTCATCTAAGGGAGCAGAAGAAAAGGAGCATATGGACCTTCTCAAAATGGTATCAGCTAAATCCAAAACCCAAGGGAAGAAAACACTAGGAGCATCTTCTCAAGAGCATGCTATAAAATAAGCTTTCCAGGTTGATGTTCTCCAGCTTCCCCAAGTTGATGTTCTCCAAAAAAACGTCAGGAACATCTCCTCAGGAGCAGGCTATAAGAGAAGCTCCCCCAAATTGATGTTCTCCAGATGTTAGATTACTAGTCCCATAACCCATAGTTAAACATATCTGGAGGAAACCAGATTGGAGAAGACTATTGAACCCCAAAACCAGAATAAGAACTACCTTGGGGGAGTTGGCGGCTTCTTTTTTGCGGTCCCCAATGGCAGCGATGCTGGCGAAGTATTGGATGACTCGTTTAGTGTTGACCGTTTTCCCTGCACCAGATTCTCCACTGAAAAGGAGACAGAATAAAGTGGGGGAAGGGATGTGTGTGGGAAAAGTGAGTAGCTTTCATCTATGACTTCTAAGCCATCCCAGTTTTGTTTTGTTTTTAAAAAAGGCCCTCCTACCAACTTTTAAAACGTTCATGAGAAGATGCATTTGATACTCACGTGATGAGGATAGATTGGTTTTCTCGATCTGAAAGAAAATAGCAAATATCAAGATGGGGTCAAAGTGGAGCCGAATTTAACCCATTCATTCGTCTTTGCAACGAATGCCTAGCTGACACCTTCCAGAGGTAGACTTCGACTTACGACCACAACTGGGATGAGAATTTCTGTGGCTAACAAGGGGGTTGTTAAGTGAGCCATGCTTGATTTTAGGGCCATTTTAGTGACAGTTGCTAGATTAGGCTGTTGTTTATTCTTAGCTTGTTTGCCTGCATTGGTAGTTCCTTGATTGGGGTGTTGTTTACTTCTTGATTGTTGATCTTGGTGTTAGTCTCTGCTCATCCGGGTGTCAATTGATGGTGAGGTCTTTTTGATTCTCGCTTTTGAATGGTATGTAGTTGTTGTTTATCTCGGTGTGCCTGTTGATGGCTGATTTGCCTGAGTGCAAGGCTTCAGGGAATTCTCTGGCATTTTTGGACTTGGCTTAGTCTAGGAGGCTCACCCTTACCCTGTTGAAACTATGATTAAGTCCATCCATGTGTTGAGAAATTATTAACAGCGTAATCAAGGAACCACCAAGACCACTCCCAACGACACTGACAGGCCAAGAGACTAATGTATAAAAAGAGAGTAAACCCCACTTTCTTCTAGTACTGATGATATTCCCTGGTTGGGTCATGAAATGTCTGCAAGAAAACAACTAGGCTCATAGGACACCACAGACCTCCTCCTCCTCCTTCTCCTCTTCCTCTCTGAAAACCCCTCTCCCTTCTACCATTGATGATGTTCCCTAGTTGAGTCATGAAACGTCTGCAAGAAAACAACCAAGCTCAGAAAACACCAAGAATGCCACAGTTCCCCTCTTCCTTTTCCTCCGCTCTACAAACCTCACTCCCTTCTAACACTGATGATGTTAGCTAGTTTGGTAGTGAGACGTCTGCAAGCTCAGAGAGCATCAAGGACCCCACAATCCTCCTCCTCCTCATCTCTGCAAACATCTCTCCCTTCTAGCACTGATGATGTTCCCTAGTTTGATAATGAGATGTCTGCAAGAAAACAACCACGCTCAGAGCACCAAGGACCCCACAGTCCTCCTCCTCCACTCCACTCCACAAACCTCACTTCCTTCTAGCCCTGATGATGTTCCCCAGTTTGGTAATGAAACGTCTGCAAGAAAACAACCAAACTCAGAGAGCACCAAGGACCCCTCATTTCAACCTTGAGTTACAACTCTTCTACAGGTGCTTAAAAACAACCTGACAACCTCGGCTTGAAGGCTTCCTACCTGTCAACATGTATTGATACGCGTTGTCGGAGATTGAGAAAATATGGGGAGGGGCTTCGCTCCTTTTTTTCCCCCTGTAGGCAGCCACCACTTCAGCGTTGTAGACGGGGAGCCATTTGTATGGGTTGACCGTCACGCAAAAGAGGCCGGAATACGTCTGGGAAGGGAAAAAGAACAAAAAGAGAGAGAAAAACCACACAAAAAGGTCACCCCAAATTGCATAAATCTGGAGCCTCTTCTTCAAGAAGCCATTGCTTAGTTTCCTCCAAACCTGATATCCCCCAAATGGGGCAAACTTCATCACCCAGAATTCTCAGCCATGGCCCCGCCCACTGAGGAATCCTGGGAGTTGAAGTCCCAACCTCTGGAGAAGTTTGGTACAGCTAATTTGATGCAGGAAACTGTAAGAGCCCTTGAGTTAACACTACAATCGAGGCCAACTTTTCTGTCGTTCAGTGAGACATTTGTTAAGCAATGGCTGTGGAACCTTCCCAGAACCGTGTTGTAAACATTTACAACCTATTTGCACTATTCAGGGGACCCTGAGGGCACAGATAAATCTCCAAGCAACCTCAACAGCTCTCAGAGAGAGTACAAACGATCAGAGGACTGCAAAGGAATATAAATCCTTCCGTCCTCTGCCATTCAGTCAGAACTAAAGAAAGCTTCTTGGATGAAGGGTGAAACCTCTTCAAGTCCAGCTGCCTTTTGAAAAAGCACCTTTAGGACAACCATGGCCTGGATGATGGAGAATCTCCATAGATCCCATAAGACAACATCAACAGAGATACTTGGTTGTGGGAGGAGTGCTTTGGGGAGAAAATAAACCCTTATTCCCAGTGTGGCCCATGAGGTCAGACATGCCTTTACTCACATAGATCATCCAGGAGGCGTAGCGCTCCTTCAGGTTGAAGAGCACAGCTGGTTCGTGCAGAAAAGTCAGCATGGCCATGTCCTCGATCTTGTCGAATTTGGGCGGGTTCTGCTGGTGGAAGTCGGCCTCCCTCACTGTCAGGGTCTGAAAAGGGTCAGGAAGAAAGAACAGGGGTTGGCTGGATGTAATTGGACTATGAGAATGACCTTGGCAGACAGGAGGAAGAGCTGCAGATGAGGCAGTGATCAGATAAGAGACACCTCAGCCCACGGAAGGAAAAGGGGTGTGGGAAGCATCCCTAGTTTTCTGCAAAGTCACACAAATAACAGAGTTGGAAGGGACCTTAAAGCTCTTGTAGTCCAAACCCCTGCTCATGCAGGAGACCCTATGTCATTTCAGACAAATGCTTGTCTAATCTCGTCTACAAAACCTCCAGTGATGGAGCACCCACAACTTCTAGAGGCAAGTTGTTCCGCTGATTAATTCTTCTCACTGTCAGGAAATTTCTCTTTAGTTCTAAGTTACTTCTTTTGTTGTGGCCTGTCGGCCACCGTCCCCTCCAGCGGCTGAATCAGAGGAGGAAGAGGAGGCGTGGGAATTAGGGTCAGCATCAGGGCAACCTGGGAGCTCCGAGGGGGAAGAGGGAATGGAGCTGGCAGAGAGAGAGAGAGGGGCAGAGCCTGGGCCATCCGTCAGCCCTCAGGTGGAGAGTCAACAGCCCCCAGGTCTGGAGGTAGCTGATGAGAAAGAGGAGGAATAGCCGGTTCCAGTGCCTGACGTACGGATGTGCAAAAGGCAGAGGAGAGGAGAGCAGTGGAAATCTATAGGCCGGTCCTTAGAATGGAACAGCTATCACTGCTGCTAGTGAGGCCCCACTCTGCCTTTTATCCACTCTGGGGATAAAAGGCAGAGAGTGGAGACAAATAGATGTGGCAGACAACTGTTAATCTCCTGGCCGGCTGGACTTGTTAGCCTGCAGTGTGAGAAAAACTTTTTGCCGGTGCTCCTAATAAAGGAATATTTGAGTTAATTTCAGTGGGTTTGTGGTGTTTGGAGAGATGGGTCAGAACATCTCTCTCTGACATCCATTCCATCTTCTTGTCCTGCTTTGGTGGAGACTAGGTTGACCTCCCCTTCTTTGTGGCGGCCCCTCAAATACTGGAATATCGCTATTATGTCACCCCAAGTCCTTGGATACAAGAACAGGAGGAAAGAGGTGCTTTCAGACTTGAAAAGATACCAGGTAAAAGTATCATTAGTAGCACTTAGACTTATATACCACTGCACAATGCTTTACAGCCCTCTCCAAGCAGTTTACAAGCCAGCATACGGCCCCCAACAATCTGGGTTCTCGTTTTACCGACCTCCAGAAGGATGGAAATCTGAGTCAATCTTGAGCTAGTGAGAATCGAACTGCTGGCTGTCGGCAGAGTTAGCCTGCAATACTGCATTCTAACCACTGTGCCACCACAGTACTCATAGTTTGTGCTTCTTAGATAGACTACCTTGAAGGGTTGACCCCTAACCTCTTCTCAAGACTCTGGAAGGAAATTTTGGAGAGTGGGACTGTCTATCTGGCAATTCCTGGATTGGTACTTCAGCTCCTCTCAATTTTTTCGAAGACTTTGATGCCTTGATATTTGTCCTTCGCTCTTGGTCAAGATTTCACCATAGGATCTCCTTCCCTGCTCTTGACTCCGCAACTTTTCAAATATTTTGACTCACAATTCTCTACAGCCCATCTTGGACAATCACAACAACGCAGCTCCCCTTCGTTGCCACCTTCCTTCTGGAACCCACCTTCTCCACAGATTCTCACCTGTCCATGATGGACACTACCTCAACCATCTCCCTTGTGTTGCCATCTTCCTTCTGGACCCCACCTTCCCCACAAATTCTCGCCAACCCACCTTGGACACCTCCTCATATAGATTTCCTTCTTTGCCACCTTCCGTTTGGAACTCACCTGTTTCACAATTTCTCACCAGCCCTCCTTGGACACCATCTCAACCAGGTTTCCTACATTCCCACCTTCCTCCTGGAACCCACCTTCCACACAAATTCTCACCCAGTCCACTTTGGAGACCATCTCAACCATCTCTCCTCCATTGCCACCTTCCTTCTGGAACCCACATCCCCATAAATTGTCACTGATCCACCTTGGACACCACCTCAACCATCTCCCTTCTGTGGCCATCTTCCTTCTGGATCTGGAACCCATCTTTTCTACAAATGCTTACCTGCCTACTTTGGACACCATGTCAACCAGGTCTCCTTGGCTGCCACCTTCCTTCTAGAACCCACCTTCCCCACAAATTCTCAGTGGTCCACCTTGGAGGACATCTCAACCAGGTTTCCTCCATTGCCACCTTCCTCCTGGAACCCACCTTCCCCACAGAATCTCACCGGTCCACCTTGGAGGACATCTCAACCAGGTTTCCTCCATTGCCACCTTCCTTCTAGAACCCACCTTCCCCACAAATTCTCAGTGGTCCACCTTGGAGGACATCTCAACCAGGTTTCCTCCATTGCCACCTTCCTCCTGGAACCCACCTTCCCTACAAAATCTCACCGGTCCACCTTGTAGACCTTTCCAACCATCTCTCCTGCGTGGCCACCTTCCTTCTGGAACCCAGATTTTCCACGTCCACCCACCTTGCCATTCTCCGTCTGCACGGTGACCATGGCTCCTTCCCGGCTTATCACTTTGGCCTTGACAAATTCCTCTTTCTCGTCGGGCACGAAACACTCGTTCCGGCTGTCGAAGGGCCGAGTCTGGGCTTCGAGACGTTCCTTGTCCGACTTGCGGAGGTAAGGAGCCGCGGCCCCGAATTCGGCCATGAGTGTGTCACCCATTCTGCGCCGCCGGCGGGAAGGAAGAAGAAAAGGAGGCAAGAAAAAGAGATTTAAAGCGAGGGGACGCACAAACACACAACCTGGAGTGAGTGTTGGAGAGTGGCACATGCACCTTAGGGGTGCTAAACTTCGACCTAGGCTGAGATTTTTAAAAAGTTATTCTACAGGTAGTCTTCGACTTACAACAGTTCATTTAGTGACGATTGGAAGGTACAAGACCCTGAAAAAGTGACTAATGACTGTTTTTCACACTTACGACTGTTGCAGTATTCCCCAGGGACATGTGATCAAAATTCAGACACTTGGCCACTGACTCCTATTTATGACGGTTGCAGGATCCTGGGGTTACGTGATCCCTTTTTGCGACCTTCTGACAAGCAATGGGGGAAAATGGGCCTTCTGGAAGTCCGGAAACAGGCCAGTTTCTAGCTTTCGGAAGGCCTCCATAGCCTGGGGGAAGCTGTTTTCGCTCTCCCAGAGGCCCAAGGGAAGCCTCTGGACCCTTGGGAAGGCGAAAAACGGCCCTCCCAGACGTTCCGGTAGGCCACGCCTACCGTGGCCACGCCCACCCAGAAACCGGGCAGCAAACCAGTTGCTGGGTTTTTTTTAATCCCACCTCTGCACACATGCAAACACAAACATACACACTCCTTGCTACCTGTGCATTTGCTTATACAGGTAGTCCTCGACTTATGACCATAATCCATCCCCAACTTCCATTGCTGAGCAAGAGAGTTGTTAAGTGAGCTTTGACTCCTTTTACGACCTCACTTGCCACAGCTGTTAAGTGAATTACTGAGGTCATTAAATGAGTAACACAGTTGTTAAGTGAATCTGTTTCCCCCACACACACACACGTTGAATTTGCTGGTCAGAAGGTCTCAAAAAGGGGATAGCAAGACCCTGGGAATGCTGCAACCGTCATAAATACGAGTCAGTTGCCAAGCGTCCGAATTTTGCTCATGTGACCCTGGGGATGTTGCAACGGTCGTAAGTGTGAAAAACAATCGTATGTTTATGACTTTTTTTTCCAGTGCTGTTGTAACTTGGAACAGGCACTAAATGAATGGTTGTAAGTCAAGGACTTCCTATATATATTTCTCAAACTTGGCGACTTTAAGACGGGTGGACTCCAACTCCCAGAATTCCCCAGCCAAAGCAAATTCCATGAGGCAAAAAAATAGAAGTGTTTCTCAAAGTTGGGTACTTTAAGATGGTGGACTTCAACTCCCAGAATTCCCCAGCCAGCTTTGCTGCCTGGGGAATTCTGGGAGTTGAAGTCCACACTCATCTTAAAGTGGTAAAGCTTGAAAAATACAGATTTTTTTTTACATTTCTATCACGGTGTAATCCAATCAGTCAATCAAATCTTTATTAAAATCATAGACTTTTCCTCAAATGTGATCTCCATTTAGCTCTTCATGACCATGCATAGAATGGGGGGAGGGGATATCAGAATTTTTTCCATGAAGTGTTGCTAAAAATTACACTTAGGGAAACTACATTCTTATTTTTGCTATATTTTTTCTGAGAATAAATCACGGAATTTCTCTAAAATCAATGCTTCAATCATCCTGATTATTATAATCTCTCCTGGAAATCTGAGATTGAGTGTCTCTATTATCTTTTCCAGCTTAATAAAAATGCAATTTATCCCTCAGTGAATGTAATGTTTGAATTTTATCAATACGTTTTTTAAGGAGAGCAATTGACTGCCTGTTCTGCTTTCTCAAAGGGTAAATTGTATAAAAATCTCCACTGTTCAAGCCATTATTAATTTAGCTGCCAATGATAAAAACAAAATAAGTTCCTTGTGAGGTAATTTGACATTAATCACCTCAAAAATATAAAATCATGCCAATTTCAGAGCCCAATTTAGATCTAAGCCTCGCTTCTTTGAAGATTTTCTCCCAGAAATGTATCGCTTTTTCATTTTACCTATCGTTTCTGGGGGGAAAAAAATTCCATTCTCTTGACGCCCCTCCAACATTTTAAAAAATAATTGTGAGGTGTTTGCGCTCTCTTATTAGAGGGAAATGCCAACATCGCCACCAAAATGCTTGCACAAAAGCTGATAAAATGCCCCCAGATTTTCAAATGTTTGCCTTTCATGCCTTTCATTTCTCCACGTTTGAAAGGAATGAGCTCTCCGCACATCCCTGAGCTGGCAGATCATTAGAAAACACAGAATAACAAGATACAGAAGGACCTTGGAGGTCATTTAGTCCAACCCCCTCTGCTCAAGCAGGAGACCATTACACAGGTATATAATAGAATATATATAATAGAATATATATAATAGAATATATATAATAGAATATACATACATA